TCTATTACATGAAAATAGAATAGGTTGAATGCTATAGGCTACATTTTGGTAATACAGTTGTTAATCTTATCTTTAAACCATATAGCTTTCCTGGAAAGTTTTTTTTACTGCATTTTTATTAAGGTATAACTTACACATAGTAAATGTCACCTATTTTATTGCACAGTTTTGCCTGTTTTGGCAAATACGTAAAGTTGTGCAAACATTACCACAATCAAGATATAGAACAGTTCCATCATGTGAAAAAATTCTCCCATACTCACTTGTAGTCAATCCTTCCCCAAGCTGTGGGCCTCTGACAACCACTGATATAAATATTCTCTGTCCCTGTAGTTTTGTCTTTGCAAGAATATTATATAAATGGAGTCATATGGGATAAAGCCTTTAGAGCCCGGATGCTTTTACTCGAGATACTGTATTAGATTTCATCCAAGTTGTCGTGCGCACCCTCGTTCATTCCTTTTCATTTCAATGTAGAATTTCACTGTATCCATGTACTACAAATTGTTAATCTGTTTCACAGTTGAGGGATATTGAAACTGTTTCTAGTTTTTTGGCAATCATTAATAAAGACGATGTGAAAGTTCATGTTCAACTTTGTTAGTGAACGTAGTTTTTATCTCATTTGAGTAAATTCCTCAAAGCGAGATAGATGGACTGTGTGATGTGCCTAACTTCATAAGAAACTGCCAAGCTGTTTTCTAAAGTAGCTGTACCGTTATGCATTCCCACCAGAAAGGTATGAGAGTTTCGGTTGCACCTTATCCTCACCAGACTGTTTTTTAAGGCATTCAAATAAATACTGTTTAAGTTAAAATAAAAATGTAGAGATGAATCTCTAAATTAAACGTTTTATTTGGGAAGACAGAATTGCAATTTGGGGCAAATACACAGACTGGGTGGTCTTGGTAAATCTGAAGAACTAAGAGGAGGTTGGAGGTTTCATAAAAAAGGAGAACTGTTATGTATCGTTCTTTGAGAAAGTTCATTGGCACTAATAAGGGTGTGAAGAGCTGACAAGCTCTGATTGGCGAGTGACCGCAGTGGGCAAAATTAGTTCTAGAGTTGTAGCAATTTATTTCAGCAGCTACAGATAAAACTGGTCTCAGATTACAGCAGGCAGTTTCAGCAGCCAGACTTGTAGCAAATTACATTTTTGAAGAAAAGTTACGTGTCTTGAATGCTTTTTCCCCTTGGCCTCTTAACTCTATGTTGGTTGCATATGACAATTGTGACCTAATTCGTATGATCAACTTTCACAGTGTGTAGTTCTATTCCCTTGTAATTTTAATTTGCATTTCTTGAATGATTAATGATGTTGAGCATCTTTCGATGTTATTTGCCATCCATATATTTTCTTTGGTGAAGTATATGTTCAAATATTTTTTAATTGAAAATAAAAATTATATATTTTTATGGTATACAGAATGATGTTTTGAAATATATATACATTGTCGAGTGACTAAACTGAGCTAATTAACATATGCATTACCTCACATACCATTTTTTTGTGGTGTGAATACTTAAAATCTACTGTCTTAACAATGTTGAATTATACAATGGATTGTAATTAACTCTAGTCAACATCTTGTACAACAGATCTCTCAAACTTATGTCTCCTGGCTAACTGAAATTTTGTTTTCTTTGACCAACATCTCATTTCCCTATTCCGTCCACTCCTGAGCCTCTGGTAACTACCACTCTACTCTCTGGCTTCTGTGAGTTTGCCTTTTGAAGATTCCATATGTTAGTGAGATCGTGCAGTATTTGTCTTTCTTTGTCTGGTTTATTTCACTTGACATAAAGCCCAGGTTCATCTATGTTGTCATAACTGACAATATTTCCTTATTTTAAAAGGCTTAATAGTATTTCATTGTGCATATATACCACATTTTCTTTATCCATTCACCCATTGATGAACCCCGTGGGTTGATTCCATAGCTTGGCTGCTGTGAATAGTGCTGCAGTGCCCGTGGGAGTGCAGTTATCTCTTCGACATGCTGATTTCATTCCCTTTGGCTATAGATCCAGTAGTTGGATTGCTGGATCATTCAGTAGTTTTATTTTTAAATTTTTGAGAAGCCTCTATACTGTTTTCCATGATGTGTGTACTAACTTACATTTCCACCAACAGTGTACATAATCTCACCAAGACTTATCTTTCATCTTTTTAATACCAGCCATTTTAACAGGTATGAAGTGAAACCACATCATTGTTTTAATTTGCATTTTTCTGATGATTAGTGATGTTGAACACTTTTTCATATACCTGCTGGCCATTTGTATATCATCTTTTGAGAAATGGCTATTCAGACCCTTTGCCCATTTTTTAATTGGGTTATTTGTTTTCTTGCTATTGAATTGGGTTTGTTATATATTTTGGATGTTTACCCCTTGTCAGATGTTTAGTTTGGAAATATTTTCTTCTGTTCAGTAGGTTGTCTCTTCACTCTATTGATTGCTTCCTTGACTGTGCAGAAGCTTTTTGTTTGATGTAATCCCAATTGTCTATTTTTGCTTTTGTCGCCTGTGCTTTTGAGGTTGTATTCAAAAAATTATTGCTCAGACCAATGTCATAAAGCTTTTCTGCTATTAGTTATACAGTTTCAGGCCTTCTATTAAAGACTTCAATCCATTTTGAGTTGGTCTTTGTATATGGTGTGAGATAAGGGTCTAACTTCATTCTTCTGCATATGGATATCCAGTTCTCCCAACACCATTTATTTAAGTGACTGTCTTTTCCCCATTGCATGTTCTTGGTATCTTTGTCAAAAATCAATTGACATAAATTTATGGAGTTATTTCAGGGCTCTTTATTCTGTTCCATTGCTCTTTGTGTCTGTTTTCATGCCAGTACCATGCTATTTTGATTACTATAGTAGATTTTGAAATTAGATAGTGTGATGCCTCCAGCTTTATTCTTTTTGCTCAAGATTGATTTGGCTGTTTGGGGTCTTTTGTTATTCCACAGGAATTTTAGGATTATTTTCTCTATTTCTGAGAAAACTGTCATTAGAATTTTGATAGGGGTTGCATTGAATCTGCAGATCACTTTGGGTAGTATGGACATTTTAACAATATCAATTCTTTCAATCCACGAACACAGGATATCTTTCTAGTTATCTGTGTATTCTGCAATTTCTCTCATCAATGTTTTATAGTTTTCAGTGTACAGATCTTTCACTTCTTTGTTTAAATTTATTCCTAAGTATTTTGTTTTGATATTATATATTTTTGATACTATATTTCTTGGTTTTTTTTGGATAGTTTATTTTCAATATATAGAAACCCATTTGATTTTTGCATGTTGATTTTGTATCTTGCAACTTTACTGAATTCATTTATTAGTTCTAACAGTTTTTTGGTGAAGTCTTTAAGGTTCTCTATATGCATATCATTCCTGCAAACAGGGAAATTCAATTTTTCCCTTTTGATTTAGATGCCTTTTATTTCTTTCTCTTGCCTAATTGCTCTGGCTAGGGCTTCTAGTACTATGTTAAATAGAAATGGTGAGAATGGAAATCCACATCTGTTCCCTAATCTTCCACTACCTAATGTGTCATATGAGGACTTAGCAGTATTTTCCCAATTTCTTCCTTCCATTCTTCATGCTATTGCTGTCATATATTTTACTTTTACACATGCTACAAACACAATGCACTGTTAATATTTTTGCTTTAGTTATCTCTTAGGGAAATTAAAAACAAGGAAAATGAACTTGATATTTACCTTTATTTATTCCATTTCTTTGTATATATATCATACCTTACCAAGGTTTTTAAAAACATGGTGAAATTTTTCTTCACTATTAGCATTTACAATATACTAGTCTGTGACTTTTCTTGGTACTTGTAAAAATTTGTTGTGCTTAGATAGCTGGGAATGTGATTTTTATAATTCTGTGTGCTCACTTAGAATTTTAGAAGTATAGGACTGAATATATCACAAGAGGTCCTTTGGCCTAATCTTCAAAATCTGACAGGTTTACTTCAAACTGACATTATTTTAAAACACTTCTAGAAGTTCTATTCTGAAGGTGAAACTTAAGCCTGTTTGTTCTGTAAGCCTCTTTTTGTCTTTGTTCCTTTCTCTTACTCTCTTAATTCATGTGTGGAGTGTAAGCATTTGACCTCACTTTCTTGCTTTTTTTTTGGAGACACGGTCTCACTCCGTCACCCTGGCTACAGTGTAGTGGCGTCAGCCTAGCTGACTGCAACCTTAAACTCTTGGGCTCAAGGGATCCTCCTGCCTCAGCCTCCCAAGTAGCTGGGACCACAGGTGCACACCACCATGCCCAGCTAATTTTTCTATTTTTTGTAGAGATGGTGTCTCACTCTTACTCAGGCTTGTCTCAAACTCCCAATCTCAAGCAATCCTCCTGCCTTGGACTCCAAAAATACTAGGATTTCAGATGCGAGCCACCACGCCTGGCCTCCTGCTTTTTAATGCTCTCTTTTTAGTAACCTTGCAGATATATGAAGATAGTTACTGAGTCCATTCTTACCATTTTCCTTTGCAGGTTTAAAAAGAGGAGCTACCAGTTAGTAGCTAAGTAATGGAAGTACAGACTGTTCTGACCCTCATAACAGAGTGCTGAACTTAAACACTCTCCCCAAAACCATATCGTTTATTTTACTCTAAATATGTACCATTGAGAAATCTCTGGGGTTCCAAAATTGTGTGGATTTCCTCCACAAACTGTGTTCGCCTGAGAACCAGATTTATTCCAGAGTCTACTGAATATAATAGCCCTACATTGTTACTTGTATAGAGATAGGGCAGGATGAAAAGAGCAAACTAGAAAACCTAGAATTTCCTGAGAAACTATATTCAGTTGTGAGAAAAAAAAGTACTCTTGACAGCTAGGGCCGGTTCTGTAGTAGAACTTACAAGCACTCATCAGTTATGAGGGTTACTGCAAGAGACACTTATTTTCAAGCTTTCCCCTTTGATTCGTGTCCAAAGCATAACATTTTCTTTTTGTCTTTTTCTCCCTCAAGGGGTGCTACATCCATTGTGTACAGATGCAAACAGAAGGGGACCCAGAAGCCTTATGCTCTCAAAGTGTTAAAGAAAACAGTAAGTTTATTTCATTATCTAATAGCATCTTTAAGGGGCCTGTGACCTGGACAAGTCAGGAATCTGACTCGAAGGACACCGGGGCCAGAGAGCCCTGTGTGCAGCTGGTTCATTTGACTCTTGATTGTGAGAGTGTAACACAAACAGGTTGTTGTCTGATGGAAACTGTGTGGCTCTTTGAAAGCAACTGGATGTCAGGCTGCATGTGGTTGTGGGGAGAAGTGTGGACAGGAATAACAGAGTTGGAGAGTAAACCTTGCTTTGTGTATCAG